CTCCGCCACGATCTGCTCCTCCGCGCCTGGGGGACACCGGGGACACGCGGTGACCACCGCTGACCAGCACTGACCAGCAGTGACCAGCAGTGACCACCCCGGATCTCCAAACGTCAATGGTTCCTTCAATGGTTCCATCAAAACAACAATGAGATCTTTTGGTGACCATCGATGGTTCCATCAAACCACCATGGAGATCGTCTGCTGACCATCACTGACCAGTGGTGACCAACGGTGACCATCACTGACCAGTAGTGACCACCCCAAATCTCCAAACGTCAATGGTTCCTTCAGTGGTTCCATCAAAACATCATGGAGATGTTCAGGTGGTCATTAATGGTTCCACCAAACCATCACTGAGATCTTCAGGTGACCATCAGTCACCATCACTGACCAGCACTGACCAGCAGTGACCATCACTGACCACCCCAAATCTCCAAATGTCAATGGTTCCTTCAGTGGTTCCACCAAAACATCAATGAGATCTTTTGGTGACCATCAATGGTTCCATCAAACCATCACTGAGATCTTCAGGTGACCATCAGTCACCATCAGTCACCATCAGTGACCAGCACTGACCAGCGGTGACCAGCAGTGACCAGCACTGACCACCCCGGGTCTCCAAACGTCAATGGTTCCTTCAGTGGTTCCATCAGAACATCTCTGAGATGTTCAGGTGACCATCAATGGTTCCATCAAACCATCATGGAAGCCTTCTGGTGACCACCAGTGACCAGCACTGACCATCACTGACCAGCACTGACCAGCGGTGACCACCCCGGGTCTCCAAACGTCAATGGTTCCTTCAATGATTCCATCAAAACATCTCTGAGATCTTTTGATGACCATCAATGGTTCCATCAAACCACCATGGAGATCTTCTGGTGACAAGCACTGACCAGCACTGACCAGCACTGACCAGCGGTGACCACCCCGGGTCTCCAAATGTCAATGGTTCCTTCAGTGGTTCCATCAGATCTCCAAATGTCAATGGTTCCTTCAGTGGTTCCATCAAAACATCATGGAGATGTTCAGGTGGTCATCACTGACCATTAATGGTTCCACCAAACCATCACTGAGATCTTCAGGTGACCATCAGTCACCATCACTGACCAGCACTGACCAGCACTGACCAGCAGTGACCATCACTGACCACCCCGGATCTCCAAACATCAATGGTTCCTTCAATGGTTCCATCAGAACATCTCTGAGATCTTTTGGTGACCATCAATGGTTACATCAAACCATCATGGAGATCTTCTGGTGACCACCAGTGACCATCACGGACCAGCACTGACCAGCAGTGACCAGCACTGACCACCCCGGGTCTCCAAATGTCAACGGTTCCTTCAGTGGTTCCATCAAAACCATTGTTTCAGGTGTGCCCAGGTGTCCCCAGGTGTGTCCAGGTGTACCCCAGGTGTGCCCAGGTGTATCAATGTGTGTTTAGGTGTACCCAGGTGTCCCCAGGTGTGTTTCCAGGTGTGTTCAGGTGTCCCCAGGTGTCCCCAGGTGTGTTTCCAGGTGTGTCACTCACCGTTGATGAGGTAGGGGTGGTTGCAGCACTTGCGCAGCTCCATCATGGTGTTGGGCAGGTTGCACAGGTGTGACCCCAGGTGTGCCCAGGTGTGCCCAGGTGTATCAATGTGTGTTCAGGTGTGCCCAGGTGTGTCAGTGTGTGATCAGGTGTACCCCAGGTGTGCCCAGGTGTGTGACTCACCGTTGATGAGGTAGGGGTGGTTGCAGCACTTGCGCAGCTCCATCATGGCATTGGACAGGTGTGCCCAGGTGTGACCCCAGGTGTGCCCAGGTGTATCAATGTGTGTCCAGGTGTGCCCAGGTGTGTCCAGGTGTGCCCAGGTGTGACCCCAGGTGTGCCCAGGTGTATCAATGTGTGTCCAGGTGTGCCCAGGTGTGCCCAGGTGTGTTTCCAGGTGTGTCACTCACCGTTGATGAGGTAGGGGTGGTTGCAGCACTTGCGCAGCTCCATCATGGTGTTGAGCAGGTTGCACAGGTGTGACCCCAGGTGTGCCCAGGTGTGTCAGTGTGTGTTCAGGTGTACCCAGGTGTCCCCAGGTGTGTGACTCACCGTTGATGAGGTAGGGGTGGTTGCAGCACTTGCGCAGCTCCATCATGGTGTTGGGCAGGTGTGCCCAGGTGTGACCCCAGGTGTGCCCAGGTGTGTTCAGGTGTGTTCAGGTGTCCCCAGGTGTGTCCAGGTGTGCCCAGGTGTGTCACTCACCGTTGATGAGGTAGGGGTGGTTGCAGCACTTGCGCAGCTCCATCATGGTGTTGGGCAGGTTGGACAGGTGTGTCCCCAGGTGTGACCCCAGGTGTGTTCAGGTGTGTCAGTGTGTGTTCAGGTGTACCCCAGGTGTGTCCAGGTGTGTCCCAGGTGTACCCCAGGTGTGTCCAGGTGTCCCCAGGTGTGCCCAGGTGTGTCAGTGTGTGTTCAGGTGTACCCAGGTGTGTCCAGGTGTGTTCCCAGGTGTCCCCAGGTGTGTCCAGGTGTGTTCCCAGGTGTCCCCAGGTGTGTTCAGGTGTCCCCAGGTGTATTGATGTGTGTCCAGGTGTCCCCAGGTGTGCCCAGGTGTGTCCAGGTGTGCCCAGGTGTGTCACTCACCGTTGATGAGGTAGGGGTGGTTGCAGCACTTGCGCAGCTCCATCATGGTGTTGAGCAGGTTGGGGACGTTGCCGTGCCCCGCCCCCCGGGCCAGGTAAGCGAAGTTGCGCTCCAGGATGGCGCGGTACAGCCGCTTCTGCGCGTTGGTCAGCTCCACCTCGATGATGGTCTCCTGCTTGGGGGCCAGGTTCTTCTCCACGTCCTCCTTCAGCCGCCGCAGCATCATGGGCTTCAGCAGCGCCTGCAGCTTCTGCACCTGCGCAGGTGAGAACAGGTGAGACAGGTGTGAACAGCTAAGAATAGGTGTGAATGAACAGGTGTGACACCAGGTGTGTGTCCTCCTTCAGCCGCCGCAGCATCATGGGCTTCAGCAGCGCCTGCAGCTTCTGCACCTGCACAGGTGAGAACAGGTGTGAACAGGTGTGAACAGGTGAGAACAGGTGTGAATGAACAGGTGTGAACAGGTGAGACAGGTGTGAACAGGTGAGAACAGGTGTGAACAGGTGTGAACAGGTGAGAACAGGTGTGAACAGGTGTGAACAGGTGTGAACAGGTGAGAACAGGTGTGAACAGGTGAGAACAGGTGAGAACAGGTGTGAACAGGTGTGAACAGGTGTGAACAGGTGAGAACAGGTGAGAACAGGTGAGAACAGGTAAGAACAGGTGTGAACAGGTGTGAACAGGTGTGAACAGGTGAGAACAGGTGAGAACAGGTAAGAACAGGTGAGAACAGGTGTGAACAGGTGTGAACAGGTGTGAACAGGTGTGAACAGGTCAGAACAGGTGTGAACAGGTGAGAACAGGTAAGAACAGGTGTGAACAGGTAAGAACAGGTGTGAACAGGTGTGCACAGGTGTGACACTGGGTGTGTGTGCACAGGTTCTTCTCCACGTCCTCCTTCAGCAGCACCTGCACAGGTGTGGGACAGGTGTGTGTGCAGGTGTGCACAGGTGTGTGAACAGGTGTGTCCTGGTGTCCCCAGGTGTATCTCAGGTGTCCCCAGGTGTATCTCAGCTGTCCCCAGCTGTCCCCAGGTGTGTCCAGGTGTGTCCAGGTGTATCTCAGCTGTCCCCAGGTGTGTCCAGGTGTCCCCAGCTGTCCCCCCAGGTGTGCCCCTCACCTGCTCCTCGGTTTTCAGGTCCCCGAAGTCCTTGAGGAACTCGGCCTCGGAGGGGAAGCGGGCGGGCTCCAGGAAGTGCAGGAGGCTGAACAGCTCCTCCACGGTGTTCTGTAACGGTGTACCTGTCAGCAACACCTTGTGCTCCTGCAGGTAAACACAGGTGAGGGGACAGGTGAGGGGACAGGTAACACAGGTGACACAGGTAACACAGGTGACACAGGTGACACAGGTGACACAGGTAACACGGGCTCCAGGAAGTGCAGGAGGCTGAACAGCTCCTCCACCGTGTTCTGTAACGGTGTACCTGTCAGCAACACCTTGTGCTCCTGCAGGTAAACACAGGTGAGGGGACAGGTGACACAGGTGACACAGGTGACACAGGTGACACAGGTGACACAGGTAACACGGGCTCCAGGAAGTGCAGGAGGCTGAACAGCTCCTCCACCGTGTTCTGTAACGGTGTACCTGTCAGCAACACCTTGTGCTCCTGTGGGGACAGGTGAGGGGACAGGTGAGGGGACAGGTAACACAGGTGACACAGGTGACACAGGTGACACAGGTAACACGGGCTCCAGGAAGTGCAGGAGGCTGAACAGCTCCTCCACCGTGTTCTGTAACGGTGTACCTGTCAGCAACACCTTGTGCTCCTGCAGGTAAACACAGGTGAGGGGACAGGTGAGGGGACAGGTAACACAGGTGACACAGGTAACACAGGTGACACAGGTGACACAGGTGACAGAGGTGACACAGGTGACACAGGTGACAGGTGAATGTACAGGTGACACAGGTGACACAGGTGACACAGGTGACACAGGTGACACAGGTAACACAGGTCACACAGGAGACACAGGTAACACAGGTAACACAGGCGACACAGGTGACACAGGTGACACAGGTAACACAGGTGACACGGGTGACACAGGTGACACAGGTAACGCAGGTGACACAGGTGACACAGGTGAGTGTACAGGTGAGTCCGTGCCGCACACAGGAAGCACAGGTGGTTTTGGGTGTGCCTGGGTGTATCTCAGGTGTGCTGTAGCTGTACCCCAGGTGTGCCCAGGTGTGCCCAGGTGTGTCTCAGGTGTACTGTAAGTGTCCCCAGGTGTCCCCAGGTGTGTCTCAGGTGTACCCAGGTGTACCCAGGTGTGTCTCAGGTGTACCCAGGTGTACCCAGGTGTGTCTCAGGTGTACCCAGGTGTCCCCAGGTGTGTCTCAGGTGTGTCTCAGGTGTGCCCAGGAGTACTGTAAGTGTATCCAGGTGTGCCCAGGTGTATCTCAGGTGTACCCAGGAGTACTGTAAGTGTGCCCAGGTGTGCCCAGGTGTGCTGTAAGTGTACCCAGGTGTACCCAGGTGTGTCTCAGGTGTGCCCAGGAGTACTGTAAGTGTGCCCAGGTGTGCCCAGGTGTATCTCAGGTGTGTTCACTCACCAGGTCCATGTGCTTGAGGCTGTCCAGCAGCTCTCAGGGGATAACGTGTGTGTAACCAGGTGTACTGTAAGTGTACCCAGGTGTCCCCAGGTGTGCCCAGGTGTGTCTCAGGTGTGCCCAGGTGCTCTCACTGTCCAGCAGCTCTCAGGAGATAACGTGTGTGTAACCAGGTGTACTGTAGGTGTATCCAGGTGTACCCAGGTGTACCCAGGTGTGCCCAGGTGTACCCAGGTGTGCCCAGGTGTACCCAGGTGTATCTCAGGTGTACCCAGGAGTACTGTAAGTGTATCCAGGTGTGCCCAGGTGTATCTCAGGTGTGTTCACTCACCAGGTCCATGTGCTTGAGGCTGTCCAGCAGCTCTCAGGGGATAACGTGTGTGTACCCAGGTGTGCTGTAGGTGTACCCAGGTGTGCCCAGGTGTGCCCAGGTGTGCCCAGGTGTACCCCACAGGTGTTCACTCACCAGGTCCATGTGCTTGAGGCTGTCCAGCAGCTCTCAGGAGATAACGTGTGTGTAACCAGGTGTACTGTAGGTGTATCCAGGTGTACCCAGGTGTACCCAGGTGTGCCCAGGTGT